TCATTTCGTTATAATTTATTTCATTTATATATGTGAAAAGAAACTTGTGACCAATGCCTTGTTAGTTGTTGACCTATATTTTTCTTGAAGAAAAATCAAATTACCTTCTTGTATTTACCTATCTATCTGTTATATCAATGACGATGTCGATTTAAGAAAGACTTCTGCAAAGACACGCACCCAAGAGAAAAACTGGTTGCAATCAAAAATCATTTTCTTTCCCTGGGGGAACAAAATGGCCGATTTCGACCGTTGCTCTAGATAAATGCTGTGATGATTCTGTTGAATAAACATTAGAATGTATTTGTATTTTTGCCTTGTGGTGGATTGTGCAATGATGACGAAGCACAGATGGCGAGAAACTTTCTGAGCGAAAGAAAAATATTGATAGAATGAAGAGAAGTAGGACAACCGAAAATGTGGCCATAATCAAATAAATAAATCGCTCTATGCGAGAAAAAACGAACGTATAATTCAAAAGCATTAATTATTTGATACAATTTTGCGCTCATCTAGGGTGGGTGAGGGGTTCTACAGAATTATCACGGAAGAAAATGTCAGTGGAAGCATAGTTTAGTTCTTTGTTTCATCCGACCAGGTTTGTGGTGGAACTTCGACTTCTTTTGATGTATCTAACTCGACTAACTGATGTATCTCCTAAGATTCCAAATAGAATGATAGATGATGTATTTTAGTGATGAAGATAATTACTTACCCAAGGATTAGCAAGAAGCGGATTTACATACGAACAAAATTCTTTAAAGTATGGATGGTTGACATGGGCTTGTGCATAACTTCCTTGTTCATATCGTTCAACGATGGTAAATTTCGTTGGATCCGTTGCATCTATCATTTTTCATATGAGAAATTTTTATTTAAATAATAAATATAATAACACATTTCGTTTACCTTGATGAACATACCAATTGATGGTTCCTTGATCTTTAACATAGACGCGACTTGCTTGAATTAATTTTGCTTTTACTTTATCCACATGCTCGTTTTTTGCAGTTAAATGTACAACAACAGTGACCACCATTTTAGTTATTTACCGTAGTTGACGTGTGCAAAAGATGAAATGTTATAATGAAGAAATAAGCGACTACCTTTCCCCTCTCCTATGTGCAAATCATGCAGAACAATCTATGGTTGCACATGTCCATCGTAAGAGAAACGAAAAGAGAAAAGTACACTGAGTGAAACACTTTTGTTTTGTGTAAGCATGTATTATTGGTTTCTGTTCTATTTCGGTTGAATGTTCTTCATTTACCGCGTTTCAAAAAGTCATTTAATACCAGTATAGTAAATGGTATTGAACAACTTCATGCTCAGAGATGTCAGGTGTAAAGGGCACCTTTCTCAATTATATGGAAAAAGAAACGAAAGACACTGATATACGTAATAGTAGCCTCATAATGTAAATTCACATTAGTTCGAATGTTTAAAATGAATACAAGTCACAAATTAAAATAAACTTTTACGAAAGTCAAGAGAAGAAAGTATGAAACTGTCACGAATCTGTATAAAATAACTCGCCACTTTTTAGAAAGTGAAAACAAATGAAATATAGTTGTAATAAAAGAGTTTCAAATCCGGAAGAAATTCCGAAGCCGAAAGATTTACGGGAAAATTATGTCAACGATTGTTGCAAGATGTAAATTAGACAGTCTGATTCTTATTCAACATAAGCTAATATTGATCTTCTTGGCGAAATGATTGTTTGTAAACTTGCTGACATAGTATCTGATCTAGCTTTTTATTTTCCTCTATTAAAGTTATTTCACATAGGCATTCATGTGATGTACATAATTTACATAGAATACCAAGTTTAATGGATGCTATATCGTCGAAATTGTTATTGCTTTCGTTGAAAATCGATTAAGTTCTCTAAGCCATCTAACTGGTATTTGTGTTATGAAGGAACATCTACATATGTCCACTCCGGTTTCGTTTATTTCTATATCATTTGATATGCGACATTGACTAAGTATAAACTCTTAATGGATTTCGGTCGACACCTCCTCGCCTCCCTGAGAAATCACTATTTTTCCTTCTCAGTAAATCAGGTAAACACTTTTCCACGAATGGAGTTGGCATTAACATGTTGTTTACATTCCATAGGAATAATTGAGACAATTAAATAATTATCACTAGTGGTACTAGATGTAAATTTTTGAATTTCATCTTTTTTCTCGGTACATGCTTATATCCTGTCAAAAAGGAATTCATCATAGTACGATCAATATAATGAAACTATGACGTTAATAACAAGTTATTTTATGATATTTCTTTAATGTTTTATTTTTCTTAAACTTGCTTAGTGAATTTCATGTGTCATCACTCAATTTTATTCGTTAAGGATTAGTTTTTTTCATTTTGATCTTCATCGCATGATACCGCACGAGAAGAAGAAGAAAACCATGACCATATTGATCGAGTTAACGATTGGGTATTCATTGGCTCTTGTAATTGTTTCCATAATGGATCAGATGTTCCTTGTCGTTTAACTGATGGCCTATGCACTTTACTGTGATATAACGATAATAATTTCTCTTTCAAATTTTTCGAACGCCAAGGTTCTTTTAATGCATATTGTCTAATAGCTTCTATTAGTTGTTTTCTTGATTCGTTATACTCGGATAATGATGCATCAGTCTTAACGGCTGTAACAGCTACAGCATCATCAACATCAAATTTTAAATTTTTCCGTAAATAAACTTCATTTTCTTTCCACCATCGACCAGTAGGAGAATCTCCTTCACAACGAGTGATAACTAATAAACATGGTACTTGTTTTTCACATAAATCATGAACAATTGTTTGATAATGTTCAATAGTTGGCGTTAATTGTCTACCTTTTCTAATACAATATAGAATTAAATGAATACCATCTTTGGAATATAAACTATCTATTTTATTTTGAAATATATTCATTGCCTGTTCATTTGGTACTTC